ACCTGCGCGCCGCTCCCGCCGCGGCGCCGGGGCAGCCGCGCTCCCGGCGACCCCGAGGTCCAGCGGCGAGCCACTTGCTGGTCCCGCGGAGAGACCCACGGCCCCCGGCCCTTCGCCGAGAAGCGGAGGCGCCTGGAAAGGGCCGCGCGCCGTGAACTGAGCAGGCGTCTCTGGGAGCACTTCTGCACACCGAGAGCTTCCATGTGAGCGATTTCGCTCTCCCCCCTGACCGCCCCGTCCTCCCAGCCGTCCCCGCTGCCGGAGCATCCGCGCTGCGGGGCCGGGAGCCTCTGGGCTCCCCGCCGGCCGTTCGGAGTGTGAGGCTCGCACGGCCCCCGGCTGCCCCGCGCCTCGCCGGAGCCCGAGGGGGCGCGGGTCCGGGGCGAGGGCCGGCCGGGCGTGTTTGATGGCTTCACTGAGAAGAGTCAAAGTGCTGCTGGTGTTGAACTTGATCGCGGTGGCCGGCTTCGTGCTCTTCCTGGCCAAGTGCCGGCCCATCTCGGTGCGCAGCGGGGACGCCTTCCACGAGATTCGGCCGCGCGCCGAGGCGGCCAACCTTAGCGCGCACAGCGCCAGCCCCATCCAGGATGCGGTCCTGAAGCGCCTCTCGCTGCTCGAGGACATCGTCTATCGGCAACTGAATGGTAAGGACAGGCGCCGGCGCCCACGGGGCTCTGAGCGGGCGGGCCGGGCCCCGGTAAACCCCTGGGGCCCTGTGCGCGGTGCCGGGGAGGGGTGGGGGGGAGCCGGTACTTCCTGGCTCCCGCAGGCTCCCGCTTACCTTTTCTGCCCTGTCTTGGCCAGGAGGCCGGGGCTGCTGGAAAGAATTACCTGCTTCTTCTGTGCCCCAGCTCTAAGTTTGCTTTTATTGTGGAAACATGTCAGCCCAGCTGGCTCCCCGTTCCCACCTGGCGACTCGAGCCCGAGTGCAGAAACTAGTCGCGCGGCCAGATGGGACTGGAGGCTCAGGCCGGCCGACTTGGAGGAAATAGTTCGTGCAGCTTAGCGTTTGGTGGGGTCAGACAGGGAGGGACACTGGCGGGCTTAACTGTCTGCAAAGTCAAGGCCTCAGGTCTGGAGCTCATGCGCTTCGGTAGTAAGTTGGATGACTATGTCATCTCTCCGGGAGGCGGGCTGCACAGCTAATAATGAGGACTCCTCCCTTCCTGCTGCCTCCGTGGAGGCTGCTATTAAAAACACCCGGTTTCTCGCCGGAGAGCTGCCTGAGGGCGATTGTTACAGTTCCTGGTGGGTTGGGGAAGCAGCGTTTCAGAGTGCAGCAAAGCCAGGCGTGCCATCCAATTAATGGCAGTTGTCAGAATCTGTCCCATGTAAAACGTTCTCCTCAGTGCTTCTGGAGAAGGGGGGACTTTTGATGTGCCCTGGTCACGTCTGGCCCAGGGACTGATGGGTCATTGGACACTTGCTGTCCCCAAGGTCAGAGTGCGAATCACCTACTTGAGTACAAGCAGCTATTGGGAGTCCATAGGGCTGGCATCCAAGGCAGATCCAAGGCTGCCATCTCCCTTCCTGAGCTTCTGACTGGTGTTCTCATGATAATTCCAGAACTACAAATAAGCGTAAAGATAATGATAACAATAATAATAATTGGTATAATTTTTGCTCCCCAGTGATCCCTGCTGGGTCCTACTAGGTGGGATGTGGTCAGATCTCTGAGCACCCTCTGAAATATCGCCTTGGTCTTCTTGATGTCATGTCACAAGTGTCCAGGGGATGCTTTGAACTTGTATCTGCCCTGGGCAGTTGCAATCCCCAGTTTGTTTCCAGACAAATTAGAAGCTTATGGGGTGGGCCTTTGATTCTACTCAGATACCTGCCAAAGACCCAGCCATAGGACCCAAAAGAGAGAGTGCAAGATAGCCTGGGTCTCACTGTAAGGCTGCACGTAGGGACACAAGTCGTGCCACAGTCCCACATGCTCCAAAGAGGAGCAATAAAATGTGAATGGTATTTACTAAGTGCGCAGACATGCAGGGACTCATTTAGTCTTTATAGCAACCCCAGGAGATAGGTGCTGATACTGCCCGCTGAGGAGTGGAGCTGGGAATTGAACTTGGATGGTCTGTTCCGGAATTGAGGTTCTTAGCTGCGGCACCAGTCTGCCTCAACCTTTGGCATGTGTCAGAGTCAGATGGAGGGCCTGTTAAGTCACAGGCTTCTGGACCTCAGCCCCAGAGTCTCTGATGCAGTAGATCTGGGGTGGGGACCTGAGACTTTGTGTCTGGCCTAGCTGTGGCCTGCACCGTGGCCCACTGCCTACACTGAGCAAGCAAAGAGGAAAACCCATTCGCCTTTCAGTGCCAGCTGGTTGGGGTAGGGTGGGGACTTCTGAGAAGCCAAAAGCCTGCTTCACATGGGGGAAGGGGAGAGGTGTTGGGTTTCTTTGCATGTGTGCTCTCCTGTGATGTAAGCAATTCCCTGGGGGATGAGGGATGTGTCTGGCACTGGGGGAGGGTTGGGTTGGGCACTGTGGGGTGGGAAGATGGAGCTTTCTTGACTTGCTGCCTCTGAGGTGGAGCTGGTAGGAAGACTGGCTTGAGAGCTTTTCCCGGGCAAGCCAGGAATTCTAGCTGTGACTAGGTGGGTGCTATCTTCCTGGCTGCTGAGTGTAATTTGGAGTGATGGCAAGCCCGGAGGAAGAGGTCAGGGAGGAGTCAGGAAATGGAGAAGACACTCCTCTCCACCCCACCTGCCGGTGCGCCATGCCTGTGCTTGCCTTGGGCATTGTGCGTCCCACCTGTTGATGCAGTAGGCCCGCTGGGGCCGCGTGCTGCAGGGGGAGGGTGGCCGAGGGTGGCGAGGGCTCCTGGGGCCTGGATTCCAGTGTCCACTTGCTCTGCAGCCTCTCTCTATCCCTTGCTTCTGAAGGATAAAGAAACCCTGACCTTGGCGTTCTTTATTCCTCAGGAATTAATGGCGGGCCTGTGAGAGCCTGGCACCGGGCATACCGTAGGAGCAAGGCCCCAGGCTTCCTTAGAATCAGCCTCTCTGCTAAGATTCTCAGTGCCCACATCCCGAATCCTGCCTTTGGAAAGACAGTTACAGGTTGTTGTTACTGTCGCATTTTTCTTACTATAGGCCGTGAAGGATGCTTTAAAGAGAAAGTGGAGATGCTGATATGGCAGGGAAAGCACATGGAGATGAGTTAGTTTTTTTCCCCTCCAGACTCTGTCTGGCCCCTGCTTTCCCATTCTTTCGGCAAGGCCCCCACTGCTGACCCTGGCTGTTGGGCAGTATGCTCTGCCCCATGCCCGGGCCTGGTCTCTCACGCTGGCATTCCATTGATTATGCGTGGCTCCTGCTGTCGGCGTGGGAAGCACCACTCCCCAAGGGCCCAGCTTCTAGTGGCTTTCTCTTTCCTAAGGAATCACGGTCAAGCCTGGAGGCTGATGGCCAGGGCGGGCCATAACCAGCTGCGACCAGCATCTCCCAGGTTGCCATCTTGCCCAGTGCCTTCTGCCTCCTCCCGCCAGACCCATCTGCTCGCAGGAATGCCCAGCATTTGCCTTCGGATTGTAGCCTCCACAGTTCAGCCCCAGCCTTTGAGAAGTTGTCTGGGTTTGCTGTCCCTGCTCCCTTTCTGTATTCCTCCCTACTTTAAAGTTTGGCTCAAGGTCTTTGCCCTGGGGGGTGGGAGTGGGGCTGTGCCAGCCACGTGTCTGAGCTCTTCCTGCTCCCAGGTACTTGAAGCTTTCTTGTCAGCGACTCTTTGCACTCGTGGCTTATATTCCTGTGCCTCCGTGGGTTTGCCTTTGAGTCCAGAGCTGGATCGTAGGCTTTTTAAGGGCTTGAGCCAGTATTTTGGACTTTTTAATACCACTTCCATCCTTCAGGCATCATCCACAGCACCTTGTACAGAATGTGGTTGATTAATTGGATGGGAGCTAGTTTTAGGAGGTAAATGATAGACACAGAGGAAATAGTCTTGACACTGTCATGGCTGGGTTGGGCTGCATGGATGTGGTGAGGGGGAGGGAGCTAGAAAGACTGAGCTGGGGAGACTGAGTGTGAGGAAGCCATCTTGTCTCCACCATCTTGCCTGTGTATCTTGAGGCTGCTCTGGTCCTTCATTCTCCTGACAGAAGGGCTCCAGATCCTTCGGAGGAACTCGGAAGGGAAGCAGTTGTCCAACATGGGGAATAATGCATTTCAGTATATTTTCTTTGAATGTGCGATTTTTTAATAATATGAATATGGTTTTATATTCCTTTTTTTGGTAGGAAAAAATTCATTCATATTTAGTGTAGAAAATTTGGAAACTCTCAAAGAGTTACACGAGAGAAAATAATGCTGTGTTAAAATATTTTGTGAAACGGCGGCTTGGTGGTTCAGTGTGGGCATTACGAACAACGGACCTAGGGACAGACGGATTTCTCGTTAGAATTCTCATGGAACTCTGCACATGACTTGTGACTTTCTGTCACCTTCTGAGGAAATTATTCATTTCTTTCATTTTAGAGCTGAGAGAAAGGTGAGAAACAGAGACACTGTGTGACTTCGCCAGGATGACATAACCAGGGAAGGGCAGTGCCAAGATTTTCTGAAGACTCGGTACTTCCCCCAGGCAGGGTGGGAGAAAGTCAGGGTGAAGACGGTGTTTCCCTGTTAGACCTGCCCCACGCCAGCCCCAGGATCTCTGTGGATGATGCCTGAAGGACGGAAGTGGTGGATCGAGCCCCTGTGCCGCACGTCGGAAGGGCGCACGCTGCTGCTCCAGGAAGCCCAGGGCAGCTCTGTCGTAAGAGGAAATGCAGTTGGGGCGCCCGGGTGGCTCAGTCGTTGGGCTCTTGCCTTCAGTTCAGGTCATGATCCCCGGGTCCTGGGATTGAGCCCCGCATCGGGGCTCCCTGCTCAGCGGAAAGCCTGCTTCTCCTTCTCCCACTCCGCCTGCTTGTGATCCCTCTCTCACTGTGTCTCTCTCTGTCAAATAAATAAATAAAATCTTAAAAAAAACAAAAACAAAAACAGAGGAAATGCAATCGATTCAGGTTAGCTTCCAAATTTAGATTTCAGAAGGGTATTGAGTAGAAGCAGGGTGGCTTGAAGAAATTGAAAATCTTTGTGGGAACAGAGAGAAGTCAAAATTACCTATCCGAGTCCTTCCCCCAAGCCGCAGAGACAGACGGAGCTGGGGTCTGAGCTGCAGAAAACCAACAGGTTCCCAGCAGCGCCCGCACAGCCCACCCAGCCTGCCACCCAAGGACGGCCGGACAGAGGTGGAGATTTGCTCTCGGAGGCCTCCAGGTGGAGTCAGGAAGAGAGGGATGGCATTCTGAAGGCACGTCTACATGGATGCTGGGGGCGGCCTGGAGCTGTTCTCTTTCTGCTGCCAGGATATGGCCATGTGCCTGGGACCAGCACTGGCTAGGGGAAGGAGGGCAGGGGGGAGGAGGAGAGGGCAAACGTTTGTATTAAAATCAGTCGCTGCAATGCGCATCAGAAGGAGGCCAGGGCAGTTCGAGCCTTCATGGGCTGCACGCAGGTCTCTGTGTCAGGCAGGGGTCCAGGCTGGGTCAGCGGAGCCAGGGTCTGGGTGCTGGAGGGAGGCTCGCTTCCTTTCCCTCCAATGGACCACCAAATCTCCACCTCTGCAGCCACCCCTCCTGCAGAGAGGTAGCGTGTGGGACAGGCACCCTGCCGGCGGGGTCAGCTGTCACCTGCCCAGCCCAGAGGTGGCAGAGAAGAGGCCACCATGTCATTCTCGAGGAAGAAATCCAACCCCCTGACCTTTGCTGTTGCCAAATCGGGAGTGTCCTTTGCGGACAGGAAGAAGGCTCGGTAATTAGAGCCAGAAGGAAAAGGACCTCCTCTTACCCCTTTGGAGATTCACATCGCAGACAACAATGACCACACTCCGCAGTGTGGAGGCAACGGGAGGAAGGGGCATGGGCACGGTAAGGCGCATGGCAGACGAAAAAAATCTGAGATCAGATAACCTGCAAGTCTCTTCTAAGAATATACAATTGGGGAAAAAAAAGTTTGTTCACTCAAGCGTCAGGCAGACTGGATTGGATGACCGATTCTGGCACTTATTAGCTCTGCGACCTTGGGCAAAGCACTTCACCTCTCGACTGAGAAATGGGGTCGTTGTAAGGCAGGATGAAATGGGACTCAGAGAGGACAGGCCAAGCCCCGGGGCCCAGCGTGTGGCAGCTGGGAGAAGGCGCAGGTGTCCGGAAGGAAGGGACCCTGCCGGCCTGCCCCCTATCCCATCCCGGACACTGGGAGCCGTCCTGGCCCATAGCAGGTGCTTAGCAGATATTTCTGGCACGAGAGCACGAGCAGCTAGCCATGCTTTGTGGCGGAGTGTGGTCATTGTTGTCTGCGATGTGAATCTCCAAAGGGGTAAGAGGAGGTCCTTTTCCTTCTAACTTGCTTGGACTCTGAATTAATGGAGATCCTTCTCTCTTCCTGTGTTTGTCTGAGGCCGAATGCTGTTTCCTTCTTCCTTCTCCTTTCTCCCTCTCCCACTGGACTTACAAAGATGATGCCTTTGAGTGATGCTTGTGAGGCAGAGGAATAGTAATGAGCCTCTACAGGTCAGATCCCGAGACAGAAGCTCACGTGTGTTCTGAGCACTGCCGGCCGTGGGCTGGGGGCCGGGATACGGACGGGGGCAGACATCTGTGGTCTCGTTGGAAAGGTGCGTCGGTGGTTTTAACAGGTGCAGACGCGGAAGGGTTAGTAGCGTGAGTGTGGAAGGGCTGAGGCCTGGACTGGCAGGCGGGAGGTGCTTAGCCAGCGAGTGTTGAACTTGAATCTGAGACTCAGAAGTTTTGACACATGCACCGTAGGACACAGGTGGTCAGAACCCCCCGGGGACCTGATGTGGAAGCGAGTCGCAGACGATGGTCTGCGCCCAGGACTGGGAATCCGCAGGGTGGCCGGCATGGGGAGCAGCGGAGACGGGGCAGAAATGTGTGCGGGGAGCTGGCTGGTGAGGCGGGCTGGTCTGGAGGAGCAGGTGGAGAACTGCTTCGAGTCCCAGGTTTGGACTCAGTTCTGCAGACATTTTGGGGGGGGGGCCCTGGGGGATCAGGGCACCACGGTGACATGAGGGAATTGATGTCAGGTCATGGTTCAGTGTAGGCACAAGCAGGTGGGGAGTGGGTTAAAATCCAGTCAGTGGTGGTTATAGGTGCTGGCGTCCCCCGCCCAGCTGTGCCTCTGCCACAAGATGCATCCGGCCCTCCAGCTTCAAAGATCGCAGCGCACCTCACTTTGGAGCCCCATCCTTGGCCACCTCCTGGGCTAAGAATCAGCACCTGGAATGGCTCCCTCTGGAAAATCTGAATCCGCCCTCGGAGCTCTGCCCTGCACACTCCACTTGAGCTTGCTCTCCCAAGCCCTCCCCTGCTGCTCTCAACTCATTGAGGCCCTCCCAGCCACGCCCCCTTGCCCCCCAGCCTTCTCTGGCTCCCTGGGGCTTTGTCCTTCCCAATCCAGCCTGGACAGCCGCTCCCATCAGGAATTCTGCTGGCTCCTCCGGGGTCCTCCTCTCTGTGTCCTCTGTTCCATTTACCTGTTGTCTCCCTGATCCTGGGGCAGTTTATTCCCGAGGAAAAGTCCCACCATGGCAAGGGGTGGCGCCCTTAGGATGCATGCACCCTGTGCAGTCTTAGCTGGGCACCCAGCTTGTCCAGTACTTACGACAGGTCTCCCTTTCTGTTCCCCAGCCAAAGAGGATGCCCGGTGGCCTGGGGGCTGGGAGACTCCGTGGGGGGCCATGGTGAGGATGAGGGGTTGAGGCTCCCACTGCCCCTCTGCTCTCAGGTGACACAGAAGCCTGTTCTACCCCAGCGGCCTCCGCAGCAGCCCACCACACGCAGGCTTTGGCCCAGCTGAGACTCCCCAGGGTCTGCCTCCTGAGGCCACCACCCAGCATCTGGGTCCTGCTACCCCTTCTGGATTCAGCTGGAGTGCTGTGTTGCAGGGCAGAACCTGCTTCCGCAATGGCCGCTGAAGCAGAAGATGGAACCTGGACATCTAGGAGAGCCAACTCTCCATGGGGTGGCCTTTGCCTGGGGGGCGACAGGAGCTACCCCTCAGCAGGAGGGGGGTCTCCCTCCCTCCGTCCTTCCTTCCCTCCTTTCCTGATGCCTGCAGCCCTTGAAAAAAATGCAGGACTCATTTGGTTGAAAGACCTTCTTCTGCCTTAGTTATTGCTCCTCATAGGTCTTTAGACTATTCTGACACAAGGATGACAATTGGCTTAGCCACTGATAGAGAAGTTTTCCCTTTTAATAATGTCCCTGTCATTGCCAACTGCAGAGCCTCAGCCTTGCCATGCATGAGTAATAAACCACTGCCATAATTACAGGCGGCCACATCCAGACACCAACACATGAGCGTGCTGACAGTTAATAGGGAGCAAGGTTCCACAAGAGCCTCCTTCCATCCTAGCCTCAGACGCAATGGCTAATTGTGTGATTAGTGTTTACTGAGGGGTGTTTAATGGTTATACATGCCTTGTTAGGTGCTGTAGAAAGAGCACTGAACTAACAGGGGACTGGGGTTCTAGTTCTACCCTCTTTCTAGGGACCAAAGTTTGTGTGTGTATAACTGAGAGCTTCATGACTTTATGGTCCTTTAGCTCTCAGATTATGAGTAACATCCTTCTCCCCCGCCCCCACTGTTAAAACCTCATGCATTCTCCAACAACCAACCATTCAGAATCCCTTTAATCTCTGAAACCTTCCCTGCCACCTTGTCAGAATTACTTGTCCTGTCTTCTGGGCTCTTATGGTACTTTGCATGGGTCTGCTTTTAGCCCTTGTTCATCTCTGCCTTACATTATAATGAATTGTTTACATGGTCAGAGCCAAGAGTTTGCAAGAGAATACATTTTATTAATTTCTAAAAATCCTTCTCTGTGTCATTTAGGAATTAATTCATCAAGTAACTGGTTTTCTTATGACATGCCCAGAAGTAGTGGTAGCTAGCTTGGGTTTGGCATCATGAGGTCATTGTGATGACATAATTTTATGACATTATAATTCTCTTGGTCTTCATGGTTACAAGATGGCTGCTGTGGTTCCAGTCATTGAATCTTTGTACAAAGAAGGAAGTGGTCACATCTCCTATTCTCTAATCTGGAAAGAAAGTCTTTTCCAGAAGTGTCTCTGGCATGATCCACATGTGGTCTGGAAAATGGTCACATGACCAGCCTTGCTTCAAGAGAACAGTTGCTTTCTGCAGAAAGTGAGTATGGCTGAGGCAGAAGCCCAAAGAGGGAAAGGCATTTACATTACGAATCCACGGTGCCTGCTATCCCCTCCACACCCCCAATGCATTTTCAGTGACTATTAAAATGAAGCAAGACTCTTTGCTAACTAGAAATCAATTAACTAGAATACTCAAGTCCTGGGGCATTTTGATTAACTGAGATTTGCCTTGAAGACCTCTCACGGATTGAAACTGTAGCCATATTTTGTCAATGGCCATTTTTGTGTCTCTGAAACATTCATTTTAGGGTTGGTGATGTGTCATAGTTTAACTGGTAGCATTTTTTCCCCATAAAAATGGTACAACTTATAGTCGGGGGCATCTTAGATTTGGTGAAATGCAATATGTGGTATGTGCGTATATATGTATACAGTAGTTTACCCTGAACCATGGTTTTATTGAGCACTTAATACACACCAAGGGTTTTGTGCTCCTGAATTCTACATCCGGCCTACGTATACTATTATGCCCATTTTACATATGAGGAAGCTGAAACTCAGAGAAGCAAGTAAGTTGTCCAGAGACACCCACCTGCTGCCTCTCTGTGTCTCCCTTTGTGAGATTGGCGC